TGGCATTCTGATATAAGGATGTGAGTTCAAAGGTTTGTGTATTGTGCAAAATAGTTGAGATATTATAAGAAAACCGAAAATCTTTGATTTCTCGAAACTGCTCTGGACAGAAGCAAGGCGTTTCGTCAGTTTACGGCAGAGTAGGCCTTGGCCTATAGCACAGACAAACACAGAACAGCACTGAGAATAATTTGTAAGTTGTAGAGTTGAGTTTGAGGTTCAGTAAATAGTTTATTTAATGGGCTGGGTGACGGCCATTTCACACCATGAACAGTAAACAACTGTGTGGGGGAAAAAGAAAAAGAAAAAAAGAGCTACACTGGATCTAGATCTATGGTTAGGCTCTATGCAAGAATGAAATTTCCAGAGCAGAACGCATTTGGTACCTACCGGTCCTCACAATTAGCATATAGCCTAATTTTAAGAGGTTATTTGATTTTTAAAAAATAAATAAATAAGGCTATTGCAATGGTAAGCAGTAGTTGGCCTACATGAGGAAGCAAACGCCAAGCACTAATGATAAGTCTTTTCCCAACCACATGTGATAAGCCACCTAGGGCCTGGGTGATTTTTATCGGCCTGCAAGTCATGCGAGAGGTCAGGGCGTGTCGGGGGAGTCCTAGCCTCCTTCTCACCCCTGGGTGGGGGTGAGAATAACTGGTCATGAGCTATTCTCACCAGGAAAGAGAATATAGGTGTCCTTTGGCAAGACTGGATACTACACAGTGGTGTTACTCACGATGAATAGATTAGAAGAGGGTTATGTCCATTTCAAGCTATGCTATAACTTGCAGGGTCGTTCTCATACCCCCAGTCATGTCAACATCATGCATATGATCTTCTTTCTTCTATCTTTGCATTCTCCTGCTTGAACATGATCTCTGGGGTAGCCGGGTAGTACTTCAACCAGCTGTACCGACAGTAGGCCTACTTCTATAAACTACATTATTTGTGGTGCTATATCAGGAATAAAGATATATCTGTAGCTGTTTTTGCTTAGCGAACCTTCTAGATTTTCATTTTTTAGCATCTCATGGCGTAATTTCTCACTCAAGGCAACTTCTATTCCCTGTGACTTCGTTTCTATCAGCCATTTTGGGGCCCTCGAATGAGCACAGTATCGTTTAATGTTTACTCTCTGCCCTGACTGATTCCGAGGCTGTGACTGACCATGCGTAGTTTTGCCGTAAACGGAAATACCGCAATGCCTTGTGCTCTGTCATCATTTATTATGCTCGAAAGAGCCTATCAAAAAACAAGAAATAATAGGCGTGGAGGAACGCGTGTTGTTCCTATCGGTCCATTCAAAGTGTAGCCTACTGTTGTGCGATGCAAGATGATGGGAAGAATAATGATGGATGAGACAAATTCATTTAAGTTTTCTTCGTCATCAAGTCTTATCATCTAATGTTCAAAAAGAGCTGTTATGTCAGAAAAGTGTTTTCCCCCATTTTATTAAATTTAAAACGAAGTTATGATTGACATTGTACTGCATTCCAATGGTCAAGTAGTGATATGTCTAGATTCGACCACGCGTGTTTGGCTAGGTGTCAACGTGAGGAGAAAAGTTTATGTAGATTGACGATATGTTCCAAAATGACGACAGACTTTTATTCATTATGTGTTATTATGGTTGTGTACTAAAGATATTTGGCATTTTGCATAGAGTCATAGTAAAATGTGAATAAAGTGGCATTTTTTCACCGTTAACTATGCATTATGAGTTGTAGCAAGGTTCACTTCACCAGTCAAATGACAAAAAAAAAACCTTGAGACACAGACACAGCTTTATATACACCCCAGACCCTATGTTCTCAGAAGCCCTGAATCTCGAGACAATGTGAGAACTGCTCATGGAGTGTTTACAATGAAAGGGAAACAACTGATAATATAATGGACAAGCAACTGTGGTGGATTATGTCCCATATCATTACATGAGTCAAACTGAATCTCCTGAATCTTTGTTTGCCAGATTTTCAAAAATATAAAATAAGATATACAGTCGAACCTACCCTGACGGCCACCTCTATAAGACACCACCTGTACAAACGGACACTTTCCTTTTCCCCCCTTGCGTTTTTTCTATATAATTTAACTGTGTAAAACGGGCACCCGTCCAACGCGGCCGCGGCCACCATATTTTAACACACAACCCCTATCACACAAAGCAAATACACCTGTCTAAGACGGCCACCTTAGTGACTCCATACGTTTTGTCATAAATCAAGCATTGAGCTCTTGCGTTGTGGGCGAGCCGTCATAATTTAATCACCTATCGTTGTTGTTAGGTAGTCCCTCCAACCGATCATGTTGCGTAGACCCCTCCCACTGTTGACCAATAGAAAAATTAATTTCAGCTGCTGGTGAGGTAAGCGTGTGATTTCTCATAACCCATAAGCCCCGCCCAGAATTCATACACACAAATCGTAAGTGAGATGAGTGGTCACTGTTTACCCAGTCTGTAACAAAGTAACAAAGGACGTCAACCTGAACTTGTGACAGAAGCGTCGCTCGTTCTCCGAACGGTAGTGACACGTGTGTTTGTTTTACCATAGCACCCGGTCCTCCTTGTCTCACACATTTCGTTTTATTGTCACCCTTGTACAAAAGCAGCAACAAAAGAAAAAAAGAGAAGAAAAAAAACCCAGTGAAAACAACAACAACAACATAACAACAACAACATCAACAACAACAATGCGGCTACCTTCAGTTGGGACCTCAGAAAGGAATGGTTTGTTTTCTTTATCTTGATCAGTCCTGCATAAGACGGCCACCTGTCTTATACGGCCACTTTTCTCCTTGACAATGGGTGGCTGTCTTACACAGGTTCGACTGTATATGAATGGAAAGTTTTTCATTTCTTTCAGACATAACTATGATGATACAATAAATACGAACCCCTAGACATTCAGCATTTCTTTTTTCTGCGATCCTCACCATTTTCTACTTTCTCCATGCTGCTTGTGTTTGAAAATTAAAAAGCAATGAGCAGACTATTAAAATAATTTTCTGTTCCATAAATGAAAAATGCCAAAAATGCTCATACGTTCTTTTATGAGATGGACGACGTTTTGCACACCATTTTTTCACTTTCAGTGCGCACTCATTCCCTTCAAAGTTTACATTGCACTCCAAATTTTATTCTTATAATTTCATTTTTGCTTGAACTTAAATGTTCTTCTACTTCTATTCTCTACCCCGAAACCTGTTTTGAATTATGTTTAAAGTTTCTCCATTGCCATTTTTAGTGCTCACAACTGTTCTGTACTGAATGTCATGACAAAGAACATTGTTTCCATTTTCTTTTCCAAACTTTTGATTGATAACAAGTTGGCATACTGACCTCTGTGGTAGAGCGGTTAAGTGCTTTGCCATCGCTCACAGGAAACCTGAGTTCGATTTCCATGTAGGGAATATATTTATCTAGTATCTTGGTCTGTCTACTGGGACATTGTATCCCTGCCAGCCTGATTTGTAGCAGGGTTGAAGCCAGCCTCCTCAATGGTATAAATTGTGTCACGACACGGTGAAATCAGGTGCTCATCAATTTTTGGGCATGTAGAGTTGTTGGTATCATCTGAAAGTGTATTCATTTGTTTTGCTTTTATTATGAAAAAGGTCACCTGGTTTCAATGGTGAAATTAGGAGAAAAGGTCGCTAAGGTTTGGTATCTCCAATAATAATAGCTGAAGACTCCTTGAAATCTGAAAAATGACATATTTTGTGTCTTTCATCAACATTTTTCAGTAACATTCACATGGAAATAATATGTTTTTGTATGGACATGAAAGTGGTTGACCCAAAAAAACGAAAATTCAACAAAAATTGCCTAACTGGCGGAAAAAATGCCACTTTCTCCAATTTTGTTATTTTGAATTTTGACGAGCGCCTGATTTCCCCACGATGCCTCACAATTATTGTGCTAATATGAATGTAATACACCTACATTTTAAAAAAATTGACAGAATATTTATTCATGTATTATTTCGCCACGGAGGAGGAAGGGAGAAAGAGTTGAGGGAAGTGGAATGGGGCAGAGGATTATCGTTATCATTATGAATAACGAACGAATATAAACCAAAATGAACCTAAAGTGAATGAGCATTGAAGAGTCTGCAAAATAGGATAAGAATGTATGTGCTATGGAGAGCAACCCAGAATTGGACACATTACAGTAATTACGGAAGAAAGACACGCCTCAATCTTATACAGGCACACCCCACTGTAACGCCTACCTTGGGAAAAGCGAGACATTGGTGATACAACAAGGTTTTCATGTCCTCTGTTAAATACATGTAGTGCCAACTGCCCAATGTCAGACGAACGTGTACCAATGACTAGATGATGTAATGACTTACCTCCCTTCGATAGGTCACTTAAACTTTAGCGTGAGTCCTCACTAAATAAAAGCCCCATGTTTATTAGCCAGCCTGTACGTTATTGTGCTGATATGGGGTGGCGCCAGATATATTCTGCTGGGGGGAGGGAATATATGATGAGGTTCCTGTAAATTGTAAAGTTTCTCTAGACAACCCTAAATTTTAATTACATTTTTTTAAAATATTATATTGATCAAGGCCTAAATAGAATAGCATTTTCATAATCAGCACTTCAAATTTAGTCTGTTTCATGCCGGGAGCAAAACTGGATGCTGAATTACAAAGTTATTTTTTATTTTAATTATACTCTTCTACATTACACATTGTGTATTCTGTTCGCTTTCGACATCACTGTTGATCTATATTGATCCATATTACCTGAAATCTACAAGACCAGGGTAGGGAGGTGGAATGGGCAGGGAGGGAGCCAATCGTTGGAAAGCCCTTAGACGTGTGTGTGAAAGATTGTCAAGCAACCATGAAGTGGGGGTAGTACGTCGAAGTTTGACTGTATTATGATCATTTATGTTTCCATGCTGCAGAGAAGCTTCTCTAACTACATTGCTGGTTTATTCTAAACCTCCATGTGGATATTCTTTACTTCATTTTAATCAGTAACAGCTTTTCTTTTCAGAGAGCTCAGTGATATGGCGATTTCTGTTGGATTCATTGCTACTGCTCCTCTTTATTGGTCAACACAGTTTTATGTCTACTCGGTGGTTTAAAGACAAGCTGGCTTCTTGGTTATACATCACAGTATCTGAGAGGATGATATATGTGGCAGCAACATGTGCCTGTCTTTTGGTATGTATGTTTGTTATTTTGTTATAATGATATCGAAAATTGAACATTTTAGAAACCTTCTACGGGGTGCCCTCTACGAATGGGATCGGCCGATAGGGCCGATCGCCTGGCTCGGTCACCTCAAAAACAAACTTCCAGCCGTAGTGGGCATCCCGTTTAAAGCAATTTTACCCATATTTAACCCTTTTGTTGCCACGGGGTGCGTGTTCCTACTATCAGCACTGACACTAGCAGTTAAGTTTGTTAGCCAGGACAGGACTCTCATCTGTCTCAGGGTAAGTTGAATGGCCATTTGGTTCTTAGAAAGTGTCATCTGCGTCCCCATATTCCTCAATATCTCCATATAAATAACTTGAAAATCTAAGTCAATAAGGGAAGTTTGTTGCCTTTTTCTGTGTTTACATTTGTGTCTCGACGCAGTGGAATCAGGCGCTCGTCAAATTTTATGCATGTGGAGTTATTAGTATCATCTTAAAGCTTGTTCATTTATCTTGCTTTTGATGGAAAAAATACACTTTTATCTTGAGCTGAAATGAAGATATTTGTAATTGAAAAAGGTAAGTTCACTTGGTTTTAGTGGTAAAAATAACAAGAAAATGGTCGCCAAAGTTTGGTAACTTCAGTAGCTAAAGAGTCCTTGAAAACTGAAAAATTACATATTTTGAGCTTTTAATCAAGGTTTTTTAATATGATTCACACGGAAATATGTTTTCATTTTGACATAAAAGTGTTGAACAAAAAACAAACATTTGATTAAAATTACGAAACTGGTTGGGAAATGCCTGTTTCTCCAATTTTGTTGTTTTTTGACGAGCGCCTGATTTCACCGCGATGCCTCACATTTTGTGAGAGCGAGCTTTCATCTGTGAGACTAGACTCGTGTTTATCAATCGCTTGCAAGTCTAATTAAAAAGTAAAGTTGTCATTTCAAATTTTTTACCAATGTGCATTGTTTAATGAATCCTGAAAACAAATTTAAGGTTTTCTCATGGCTCAATCTCCATACAGAAGAATCAGTTCCAGATGATAATTGGAACATACATGATGTAATGTCTTATAGGCTAACTTTGGTGATGTCCATGGTACAGTATAAAGTGTCATAAGGCAAAAAAGGGGTTAACAGCGTCCGGTCAATACAATAAAGGGTATTTAGGACATATGCTTTTTTTGTTTACTCCAGAATTTAGTAGAAGTGCATTGACTTACACTTTTAATACTTTCAGTATTTCTTAGCTGTAGGATAAATTTTGTAATCTGTTCTGTACAACGAAAGAGAAAGACTGTTTATGTCACTCGAACAAAACTGAAACCTACAACGCAGACATCACATTGGACGAACTAACATCATGCATCTCGGACCTGGGCAATACAGCCCCGGATCCGGATGACATCCACAACCAGATCATTAGACACTTACCCACAGAAACACTCACACTCCTACTAGACATATACAACGACTTGTGGCGGTCGCACTCGTTTCCGGAGTCTTGGCGTCTCACTACTGTCATTCCAATACCCAAATCAAACAAATGACCACACACACCCATCCAATTATAGACCTATAGCACTAATGAGCTGTCTGTGCAAACTTATAGATAAAATGATCCGCAGGCAACTCATGTGGTTTCTGGAGACGACGTGCTCGGTGAGCGGTCTCCGGTTCAGGAAAACTCGATCCACTCTGGATCACCTGGTCCGCCTGGAGACCTTTATACGCAAGACGTTTGCCGAAGGAGGCCACGTGATCGCCATCTTTTTCGGCCTAGAATAAGCCTTCGTCCCTACCTGGAATTACGGCATTCTCAGAGACCTGCAGGCACTCGGCATACGCGGTCACCTCCCTGACTTCATTTGAAATTTCCTGAAGAACCGTTCCTTCCAGGTTCATGTAGGATCCTCCCTTTCTGACCAACAGGAGGAAGGAGTCCCCCAGGGGAGCATCCTTTCTCCTCTCCTATTTGAAATCAAAATATGTGAGGTGTGCTGACAAAATGAGTTACTTCTCGGATTTCAGCCGTATGGAAATTGGTACATCAACTTGCTAGGTGAAGTTTGTACGATTTGTGAGCATGGAATAGTAAAAGACACAGTAAACTTAAACCAAATGGCATTAATTGAAGACCTATAAATCTGATCCCAGTATTGATTTTCAGCAGATATCTCCTGTCTTCGATCGTGAGAAGTAACTCATTTTGTCAGCACATCTCACCTATGTTCCATCGTAAAGACCCTCCAAAATAGCATAGACAGCTCGTTATACGTTGATGACTTCTTGATATGCTGCCGTTCGAAAAACCCTCAACTAAGGTGCTGCACAAACTTGAAAAGTGGGCAAACAATAACAGTTTCAAATTTTCCCCATCAAAGACTGTTGCTGTACACTTCTGCCGATCAGGCAGACATGTACTGCAGCCGGATTTGACATTATACTGGGAAAGGATTCCCGCACAGGACCAGGCTTGTTTCCTCGGCGTTATATTCTACAAAAAACTCACATTAATTCCACACATCAAAGACCTTCGTGTGAGGTGCCAGAAAGCGTTAAACACTTTGAAAATTCTATCGCATCTGGAGTGGGGCGGGGACTCAGAACTCTTTCTCCACTTGTACATCTCCCTTGTTGGATCCAGGCTTGACTACGCCTGTCAAGTCTACGGATCGGCAAACCCACACATCCTAAAAATGCTAGACCTAGTGCAAAACCCTGGACTCCGCCTCGCGCTCTAGGGGCTTTCCGCTCTTCTCCGATGGAGAGCCTCCAGGTCGAGGCAAACATACCATCACTCGCACTCAGACGCACGCAACTCTCACTACAACACGCAATTAAACAGAGCTCGACACCAGAGAACACTGCACATGACTGCATTTTTAAAACAAACCCAGACACCATAAACAAATTCCAAAACAACGAAAAACTCGTCAAACCTTTTGGCCTCAGAGTCCTTTATGACCTCAAAAACGTGCAATTTTCCAAACAAGACATCCAACAGTTTCTTTTCCACGACCTCCCTCCTTGGCACCTCACCCAGGCAAAAGTAGACTTACAGCTGACCGTACACGACAAAGCAAGCACAAACACCAAAACATTTAAAGCAGAATACAAAAAAACTTATAGAAAAATACCCTGGGGCAGAGCTTCTCTTCACAGATGGCCCCAAAAAGACAATGATGTGGGCACCGCAGCCCTATCTTCAAACAGTACACACCAGAGGAGACTCCGTCCTGAAGCCTGCATTTTCTCTGCGGAGGCCACTGCCATTGACATGGCACTGGACTCTGTAGAAAGTTCCCCTAACAAATTTGTCCTTATAAAATCCTTTCTGACTCTCTGTCTTGCATCATCTCACTCACAAACTACACACTCCTACTCCCAAAAATAGTTAGGCTACAACGGAAAATACACACCTTGACTGAAACAGGGAAAAGTATCGTGTTCGCATAGATACCTAGCCATGTGAGCATCCGAGGAAACGAGCTGGTAGATGACCTGGTGGAAAAATCCTTATCCCTTCTGTTGGGATCAATGACGAACACTCTCCCACAGACCGACTTTAAAAACAAAGTAAAAAAGTACAACTCCAGTCTGTGGGAGAGCCATTAGAAAAAACAAGCAAATAACAAACTGCACAGCATTAAACCCAAATTGGGACTGCGAAATCCTTCGGGCCTCTCCAGAAGAGACGAAGTTATTTTTACTCGATTACGCAATGGACACATGGCCCTAACACACAAATACCTCCTTCAGGAGAAGAGAAGCCGTTCTGTGCGACCCAGATTTTACCATTAGACACATTTTAACCGAATGTCTAGACTTCAGAGAGACCTGAAGGAAATACTTTAAATACAAAAAATTCTTCCCAACAGAATTTTAGATTTTATGAAGGCCATTGGCCTTTATGTGAAATTATAGAGTGAAATTAAATTATTAAAACTTTTAATGTTATTTAGGAAAGTTGTTTTAAATTGAAAGTATATTTACACCGAATTGTAAATATTTTAACATTTTATGGTCTAACTACTCACCCGAGTCCAGCCATACAGTGAACTGTTGCTAATAGAACTAACTTGTGTTTCGCGCGCTCATATGACCTTATGCAGTTGCGAGCGCCGTAAAACCCCATACTAAACTAAACTAACACATAAATACCTCCTTCGGGGAGATGAGAAGCCATTCTGTGTCAGATACGACACAGATTTTACCATTAGACACATTGTAACCGAATGTATAGACTTCGGAGAGACCTGAAGGACATATTTTAGATGCAAAAATTGCAAGATTTGCTTTCCGTCGTTGATCCCAACAGAATTCTGGATTTTATTAAGGCCATTGGCCTTTATGGGAAGTTGTGAATAAAATTGAAAAAAAATTGTTAATATTATTTAAACATTATTTTAAAAACAAAGAACTTATTTACCTCAAATTTTTTACATTTTAACATTTTGAAATCTGATTGTTGACCCGAGCCCAGTCGTGTAGGGAACTGTTGTGAATGCAACCAACTTGTGTTTCGCGCGCTCATTTGATCTTATGCAGTTGCAACCGCCGTAAAACTCATACAAAAACAAACAGACATACACACCCACACTTTGTTTCCAACACACCCAGTCCACACGTGCACACGTCCCTTCTACATTGAATTCATGATTTTGCCCAGACAGATATTTGATTTGTGACCTGGCACATGACCTCTCTGATTATTTTGACTACATTTGCATAGAACAGAATTTTGTGATACTCTCACCTGACCTTTCCATCCCCTAGTTCACTGTCCTTCAGTGGCAGTCTATCCCAGAGACCTACCTGTGGTTTGTGGACACGAGAGAGAGGTTCCTGCTGTGGACGTTCTTCTTCCTATGCCATGTCGTCTGCTGGTTCTTGCTGGGTCTGGAGATTCTCCTCATGGACTGTTCCGAGATGCTGGGCATTAGCCAGGTGAAATGAACACCATTGTGCTTTTTGGGCTCTTTTTTGCCATCTTTTTTTTCTTTCAATTCATGTATCAATTAACATTCTTTCGAGATATAGATTGATTTATATTGTGTTGATGGGGGACATAAATACATCTACAAGTACGATTTACTAGGTCTAGATAAGAGTAGATCATTTTAAAGGCGAATTTTCATTATTGGATCATTAGGGCCTCAAGAAATATAGTTCACTTTTTTAAAAAGTTGAATGGAGTACCAATTGCTCAATTTTTCAGTATATCATAAGGATACATAGCTATCAAAACCTAAGATTTTATAAATTCTTAAGGTCGAAATCACGAAAATCCGACTCTGTCATGTTTTAGGAATATTGAAAGCCCAGTTGAGGAAGCAATTTTATCAAAAAGCTCCATCTGTCTGCCAGTTTATGATTACCCACTTAACCATTTAGTGTCAAAGTAGTCCACTTCATCATGAGTTGGATTCCCACTTGAGAAATCTTTTAGTTGAACATCTCCATCTGTATGCTGTACAGATTAGCCGTGACGGGCAACGTCAAAACGACCGACTTAGTGAATTATCTAAAATGTGTCTTTAGTGATATAAAAACCAATACAATTAATATCAATTAATCTCTTATAGCCGTGATGCAAGGATGTTAAGCTGCTCTCCCTTTTCCTTTTAAAGAAAGGGGAAAATTGTAATGTTACTCCCCTTTGCATGCCTTCTGTAATTTTAATCAGTTAATGATTGTGCCTTTGCTGTTAATTGAAACAGCTGGAGACAGCAACGGTAACCTGATGTGCCTAACATTGAGTCTGCTGTAAATGTTTTTTATTTCAAATTTAAGTTTGAGTTCTCTGCCTTGACGCTTTTGTTAGTCATTTGAACACGGATTCTGCATAATCAAGCTATGTTTTCTATACATGCATAGTTTAATTCTAACTTGCTCCATTGTATTAAACATTTTCAACATTTACTGTCGAGTTATATATTAATGGGGCTCCTTCACCAATGTGCGTGGTGCCTGGGCTGGTTGAGGAGGTGTTTTCTTGATTCTCTCTCGGTAGTGTTTGATCCAAATACCAACGGATGTTATTTATTGCAGGCTCAACCTTTTTAATAAGCCTGTTGCTTAAAAAGGAGTCAAAAGCAAGTACCTAGCCAGACCAGTTTGCTCAGCTAGTAGTTGTTTTTAGTGTGCATGCTTTGTTACTTTCCGCCAGCTTCTGTGGTTAGGTTTTTTGTGCAAAAGATGGAAATTTGTTTCCAGCATAAAGGAGCCGCAGTTGAACCACCTCTAACAGCCAGCTGTATAAGATAACCACCTGTACGAACGGCCACTGCCCATTTCCTCCTTATGTTTTTTTTACATTAATGCTCTAACTGGCTGTGATCATGATTTAGGTTTCTCATTGCGGGTTCAAGGAGGATGCTAATAGTAGATCCTACCAGGATTCTTTCCCTTTTTTGTTTTTGTCTCTCAATCTTTTTTTTTCCCCCTGCACTAAATGACCCTTATTGTTTTGATGTGTTTCTCTTCACTCAGAAGAGTAGTTTGTTGTTAGTATTTGTTTTCAGTTTGTATTTGTATCTTATACATACAAAATTATTATTTTACCAGGTGTACAGATATCACAGCTCTTTGAGCCCTCCTCTTGCACAAAAAGCCAGAAAGCTGAGAGAGATCTACTCTCGTATGCGTCACCCCGGCTCTCTTTTGCTTACTCTGATGCTGTGGCTTCACCCTCTGATGACACTCGATCGGCTGCTTCTGGCTTCCGTGCTGACCACCTACATGATTGGCCGACACAGTTTTGAGGAATCTCATTACGAATTTGCGGAGAAATATTTTACTGTAGAGCAGGTGGAGCGGAAGTCATCCTCATCCGTGCGCTACGAGTACGTTAGAGAAAATTAGGTTTCCATATATAGAGCTCTACTTTTGTAAAGCAGTGTGAATCTCTATATCCAGTGTACTAGACATCTATGCAAGTTGTACTTTAGAGAAAGTTCCTAAAAGTATGATACAATGGTACGGGTTCGTACAAAATGGTTGACCACACGTAAGCTTAAAAGAGCTTTATCGTGTATAAATCTTTACTACCGTTTTATGTGTATGTATTTTTCTTTAATTTTGTCTTTAAGTTTAAGAGAGGAATGAAATCTCTTTTTTTTATGTAATTATATTTTTCTCTTTTAGTATTTCTTTCAATACATCATAGTAGCACCACTAACAGAATCTGTGAATGATGATAATGAAGAGTCCCAATCTGTACAGACATGAGTTTTGTTGTAATTGTATGATAAAGTATGTCAATTGAAATAATGTCTTGGACTTCACATTAGAATAAGTGATTATATAACAGTAAGGAATCGTGGTGAAACCGGGCGCTCATCAAAATAATGAATCAGATAGATTGACATTTTTCTGCCTGTTTGGCAATTTTCATTGAATTTTCTTTTTTGGGTTCAACACTTTTTATGTCCTTTTAAAAACACTTTTCTGTGTCAAATCTACTGAAAAACTGTAATCAAGGGCACTAAAAATGTAAGTTTGCAGTTTCCAAGGACAATAAAGCTTTAAAAGTGTTCAAACTCTGGCGGCCATTTTCTCATTAAATGTTTCCGCACGTATCGCCGATATATCGGCACAGGTCCACACCCCTTGCGGACATTATCACCGATACATCGGCTGTAATGGGGTGCCTCAGTATTGTTTCGTTTTAACACGATCTGTCATTTATAATTACTTTTTATTGTCATTGAAAAACTCGGAAAGGATTTATGAAACGAAAACATCTTGTCAAAGCGTTGGTTTTGGGAAAAACGAGTGAATTAGTTCTTGCGGTCTTGCATCAACAAAACGATGTAACCGGACTCAGTATAAATATCATAACTCAAACAAAAATTGGAATATTGCTTTCAAATAAAAAGCTACACATTCACAAATTTATGCATTATGCTCTTGGCCTGTACATGATAAGATAGCTGTGCTGATTTGCTTTCACATGTTTGGTGAATGTAATTTTTTCCGCCAAAACTTATTTTTTCTCATCGCCATCACCATTTCTAAAACTTGTAATGCATACTTCTGTTCATAATTAACTCTTGTTTCATGTTGGAATGTATTCCTCATTCAATTTCCTTCAATTTGATATGTCATATGTTACGTTTTGAGTGATGGTTTTGCTTCTATGACGTTATTTTGTACACCAAGTTCATACCCAAATAGAGCCGCAAGTTAATTATGTCTAAAACCCCCAAAAACTATGCCCGGAAAGAGTTATTTTTCCCTCTAATTCGAGGTGACCCCCGCCTTCGGTTGCAAATGTCTTTAATTCTATTTGAGATTTGATGAGTATTTTTCTCATCACAGGCAAGACATATAAACAGGCTTTAAGATAATATCAATAACTCTATATATGCGTAAAATTGATGAATGCCTGATTCCACCATATTGTTTGTTTTAGTCGAGGTTTTACGGCGCTCGTAACTGCATAAGGTCATATGAGCGCAAAGGGGTGAATGTCAACAAAGAAGTCCTTACGAGGAATCAGGCTTACTCTGCTCACCTCTCTAGCTTCATCGGCACAAAGTCTGCTTCGACTATCAAGGCTCCCAGGAAGTAGTGGATCACAAGAGTGTGACAAACGTACAAAAGAAGTAGACGGAAAATGAAGATAGTAAGGATTAGGAAAAAAAAGGCAGCAGTTCCCTGTTGCTGTTCAGGCTCCGTTATGAGCATGACATTGATGAATCAGCCCATTTACAATTACTATTATACTGTGCATAAGAACTTGGTTTAATGTCACCCCTTTCTGAATGGCCTAAAGACACTTCAGTCTGTAGCACCGCCCCGAAGGGTATTCCACCATATTGTATCACAAATGATTTTGTATAGTTACAAAAAGAATATGTTGTTTTTGTTTGAAAAACAGATTTTTCCATGGCTGCATTTTGTCCTATCACATTTTGTCTGGCCTTGTTTCCTGCTTCAGGTGAGCTTTTCCAAAATGATTTTAAGATTATTAATGCTTCTAATCAAAATGATTTTTTCTTTCTGGTATTTATTTATATTCTTCAGAAATCTCTTTTTACATTATCACCAGCATAGAGTTCAGAATTGATAACCTCTTGGTTGGGCTGCCATACTTGTGATTGAGAGGCTATTAATTCAGTTTGTAAGAATACCCAACTCATTTTATATCATTGACTGTCAGGCAGAGTGTCTTTCTTTCTCGAATCACAGGGTAAGAGTCACTGGGTTTGAATATAAAACAAATAATTTATTAAAGTTATTAAGGTGCGGCTGATCTTTAACAAAATATGAGGCGTCGTGGTAAAATCAGGTGCTCGTCAAAATAATGAAATCAAAGGAACAGCCTTTTTTCCGCCAGTTTAGCAATTTTTACTGAATTTTTAATTTTTTGGCTCAACACTTGTTATGACCATATAAAACACGTTTCCATGTATATTTGACTGAAAAACATTTATTAAAGGCACAAAATATGCAATTTTTCAGTTTTCAAAGACTCTCAAGCTATTGAAGTTACTGAAGTTTGTCAGCCAATTTTCCCCTAATTTTACCACTGAAACCAGGCGACCCACCTCATTCAGTTGCAAATATCTCGACATCTGTTTAAGATAGGTGGGTATTTTTTTCATTGAAAAAAAAAAACTGCAGATGAATACGCTTTTAGATGATACCAAAAACTCCATATGACAAAAAATCTACATGTGCCTGATTCTACCAAATATCATATCGTGACACAAATATTGTGGGCCGCTAGATACCAAAAAGAGCCATGAACGTGTAGTACATTCTATGTATCAGCCATATTGAATTAATTGTGTATAAGTACAAACACATATAGTTAAATATTACCTCCCCTTGACATAATTTTTTTTTCCCATTGGTCTGGGACTGTGTTTAGTTCTGGGGGTTTTTTTACATGAGGTTTTTACATCCTCTGATGGTGCTATGATGACAGTAAACTTAACACTATGTAATATATATTAATATATATGTGTTGCACACACATATATATATATATATATATTAAGAGTTTTTGTGATCTCCTGGAGAAACAAGCTTTTCAAGTTGAGAAGACTCTTGGTTTATAAAAGATGTGATTGTTGACTTCTCAAAATTTCTTCTTTCCTTTTCTGATTTGGTTATGTGAGGTAAAAGTGTTGAGTTTTTTTTTGTTTTTGTTTATTTGTAGTAGTAATAAATGCTTTGGAAAATTATACTGCTCTGCTTAGCCTACTTTACCGGGGCGCTGGAACATAACGTGGCATTCTTGCTAGTGCCTGAATCTTTGCGTTTGTACTCTCTTTTTAGTGAGAGAAATGTATCTTTTCGATCTTTTTATTCCTATGTTTGAATAAAATAATAGAGACATATGGGTTCATTTGTTTACATATGTTTGTAGTACGTTTGCTAATGAATGTGTGAATGTGTGTGTGTGTGTGTGTGTGTGTGTGTGTGTGTGTACACAATAATTCTGGGGGTGGGGGTATTGTGTGTCAGTTTGTCTGTCTCATTGTATCTTTATAGAATGGTAGAATCGGTGTCTGTGGTGTAGCTTTTTGGTGCTCTGCTGTCACTTTCAGGAGAACCGAGTTCATTTCCGGAATGGGGCTAGTTTTTATTGAGTCTCTGTGCTGGGATGTTGCATCCCATTCTGGTCTAAGCCTTGATTGGCCCTGACAGGCAGGTTGGAAGCCCACCTTCTAAATGATCTAAATTGTGTCAGTAGGGATTTAAAAACACCTACTTTTATTTACAGATGGGTAAAATGCTCAGCATGTAATCATTTTTAAAAATCCTCTGTCACTGAGCTGTTTTTGCTGGTTTTCTTACTTGTCTGTGCTCCTGCTCAATTCAAACGTGCATTAATATTAAACACGTACATTGTGTGGATTTTTCAGCAATTAGGGGGGAGGGGGTTACACCTGAAGGGAATCTGGCTTAATAGTAAATCAAATGTTACCAAAATGTCACACATTTAACAAGCAGGGTGAAGAGTTTTAAAATCCGCAATCAAATTTGAGAAAAAAAATAAAACTGCCAGGGTGATGGTGGCCGTATTGGATTTTGTTGACATGCCATACGCAATTAATTCTGCACTTATCTTTCATGGAAATAGGTCGGGGGGTTTTTTAACATGCATTTTAGCAGATAAAAGATCTACAAATTTATCTGTATAATTTTTCCTAAACGAATAAGAACATTTGTTTAATGATTCTTTTCCTGAGGTAGTATTCAAGTTTGCAAAAAATCCGTGAAAATCCACACTCCAGACACCACCTACACCAATGTATTCCAAATATATATATCAACAATTTAACAGACAAGTGTTTAGTGTTACATCTTCTCTTCATTTTGGAAAAATTTCATGAAGATTGGCTAAAAAATGGTTAATTCATTCAAAAAATATTTATGGAAAATCCACGTTTTGGGGAAAATGGGCGATAAAGAAAAATAAAAGATTGACTTTTTGAGGAAATGGTAGTGTTTAGTGTAGATGGGAACAAAATGAGGCTTTAGGGGGTTCTAATGCTATAAAATTTAATAGTTGTTAAAGGGGCTGAAGAAGCCAAAAATGCTTACATCTCAAAATCCATAATTAATTTTGTAAGGGACTTGCAGGGTGTAGCCCCCCCCCCCCCTTATTTTTTTCCAGGTTTGCAAATCACTCAGCATCAGCGTATAGCTACCATTGAAAAAGGGGCCTTAAAAAAGCCTGCTGGTAGCGTGGAACTTAATTTTAATTGTCATAATATAAGAGCACTTTCCCAATTCCCAAATCCGTTTTATATAGCAAGATTATTCCTGTACTAGAGTCAGAAACGGATCAGCCAATAAAAATGGCGTATTTTGACTTGGGATTGATGGATGGGGGGCAAGCACAACATGTACAACATGCCCTACTTTTTTCCCTTAAAGTTGCTGCTTTGCCAAGGACAGAAAGGTGATAAAGACATGACGTAAGACAGAATTGCGCAATGAGGAGAGCTGGTGCCCTGCCATGTGTGACGGGCTGACAATTTGAGAGGGCTATGCCCAACGCCTATACATAGGCAGGTACGTGTTGGAGGGTTGAATGGGTCCCGTTTGGATCAGTTTACGTCATACCAAACCCTCTGGGACCAGTGGAGCGGGTAATTTTATTTTGGCAGATCGAGCGTAAGACCGAATGTGGTGGCTTTATAAGCGGCATCGAATTCAAGTGGGTCAATTTAGTCCATGGACAAGGGGCTGAGGAAGCCAAAAATGCCTACATCTCAAAATCCATAATTAATTTTGTAAGGGACTTGCAGGGTGTAGCCTACGTTAGATTATGGGTTCGGGAAGTTGAGTCTCAGTTTGGTTAGTCATCATATCGCAGCATGGGTCCTGGAATTTTTGACAGGTAGACCACAATATGTGAAGCTAAACAACACAAAATCTGACACAATTCTTTGTAACACCGGCGGTCCTCAGGGGTGTGTTTTGTCACCAGTTTTGTATACTATATATACCAACGATCATAGAAGTATTTATAAAACAACACGCTTAATTAAGTTTGCAGATGACTCCGCTATTATTGGATTAATAAACCATGATGAAAAAGAGTATTTCGAAGAAATATGTAGGTTTTTTTAAATGGTGCAACTCAAATTTTCTAAAAGTGAACCTCTCAAAAACAAAGGAAATGATTTTTGATTTTAGAAGAGAAAAACCAACAATCCCACCACTCGTAATTGAACAAGAAACTATTGAAATCACGGATTCATACAAATATCTTGGCCTTACAATAGACAACAAATTTACATGGCAAAACCACGTAAACAATATCGTTAAAAAGTAAATCAGAGG